AAATATAAATTGTATAATAATTAAAATAAAAATTCGATTGTAATCAAACTTAACAAAATACATGCACGAAAAAGTTTGTATGTGACTTCAACTAATGCACAATTAATATTTATGTATGTACGCATATTTGTAAAAAAGTCAAAATATAGCTCTTACGTGTTAAAATATTTTTAAGTGACTTTGTAAAATAAAGTGCAAGAGATTTATTTTTATATACTTCTATTTTTATTTCTTATTTATATTTCATCTTATTTTAATTTAGTCTTTCGTTTGGTTATTTTTTATTTCATTTATGATCTCAAATTTTTGATATACAATGAAAATAAATTTATATATATATATATATATATAAATTATGATAAGAGATCAGATGAGATGGTAACATAAGTTATGTACATTTTAGAAAATAATAATAAAAAGATAATAAAAGTTATAGAAAAATATATGGTCCTATTAATATTATAAAATAATAATTAGTATACACTTTATTCATTTAGTAAATATTGGTTTGAAAAGAAAAATTATTTTAAATTACGTTTTTAAAAAAAAATCAATAATATTTTTTATTTTTTTTTAACATTTTATTGTTTAAATATTTTTATCATGATTGTATTTTATTTAAAATTGTATTATTTAATAATTTGTTTATTTAAAACTTTTTTAGATATTATTACCATATTTTGTAACTTAATAACTTTTTAAAATAAAAATATATCATACTTGAAGTACTATTAATACATAGAATTTTTACTATTCTATTGGATAATTTAGTATTATATTTTTTCATTTTTATATAAAATTATAGTATATATATTGTTGAAATAAATTTGTAATTATATTTTATAAAATTATGAATATATGTAAAAAATTGAAATTATATTAATTATTATTTTCTGTTAGTTTAAATTTGTTAATTTTAGTGTTATAAATATAATCTAGTGTATTTATGTTTTAATTCCATAAAATTTATAATTAACTGTGTATTATATTCATTGTTGATATCTGTCGAGTTTACTTGGCCATGAGGTGAACGTGATGTTTTGAACCGCCCAGATTTTTATGTAAACTTAGACAACAGGTACAACCCAGTGTCATCTTCTCGTAGAACTAAGTTCTCTATTGTGTTCATTGTGGCCGTGAACTTGCCTGGTTGTCATGAGTGAACTTGGAGATATAGCATCGTCTTCATCCTCCTAGAAACGGCTGTAATTCACACTTACTAGGTGATTTCTTTGAGCTCCTGACATATACACAAGTATCCTGTTATACTCTATATTATGAAAGCTACTCAAAATGATTAAAAGTATAAAACTTATCCTTTAATACTTACAGGGAGCATTGTGCATCGTTTTGGGAGACGGGCACAGATGTTATGTCTTTCAGTGCTTTCAGCAGACTCTGTTCGACTTGGTTGTCCCTTTGAACTTAGATCTTGGGATCTCCAATCACATAAGTGGGGTTTCCATCAAACATCCTCTTTAGTCATAGGCAATAAATCCATTCCCTTTGATGATTTCAAAACTTGATCTCTATTTAAACCTTTAGTGAACGGATCCGCAAGATGTTTGCTGACTTGATGTAATCGACCGAGATTACACCCGTTGAGATCAAATTTCTAATGGTATTATGTCGCCTTCTGATGTGACGAGACTTGCCATTATAAAGGTTACCCAATGCCTGAGCTATTGCTGATTGACTATCACAATGCACTCGTAATGTTGGCACTGGTTTCTCCCACATGGGGATGTCTTCAAGGAAATTTTGTAGCCATTCTGATTCCTCTGCTGCCTTGTCTAGCGCTATGAACTCAGATTCCATTGTGGATCTTGCTAACAGAGTTTGTTTGGAAGATTTCCAAGATACTGCTGCACCTCCTAGATTAAAGGCGTATCCACTTGCGGATTTTGAATTCTTTGAGTCGGATATCCAGTTTGCATCACTGTATCATTCCAAAGATGCTGGTCCTTTACCGTAGTGCAGCCCATAACTCTTGGTGTATTGCAAATAATTTAATACCCTTGTTATGGCTTTCCATTGTGTATGACCTGGATTACTTGTGTAACGACTTAACACGTTGACAGCATGCGCAAGGTATGGTCGTGTACAATTGGTTAAGTACATTAGATTTCCAATGACCCTTGCATATTCCACTTGTGAAACAGCTTCACCGGAGTTCTTAGTCAAGTGTAGTTGCGAATCCACGGGAGTCTTCACAGTTCCGTTTGAGTAAGCCTTGAACCTCTCAAGAATCTTTTCAGCATAAGGACCTTGAGACAGAGTGATGCCTTCAGAGGTGCGTATAATCTTCATGCCAAGGATAACATCCGCAAGACCCGTGTCTTTCATGTCAAACTGACCACTAAGCATTATCTTGGTTTGTTGGATGATATCGTTGTTACTTCCCATGATAAGCATGTCATAAACGTATAAACATAACAAGATATACCCGTGAGGAGTACTTTTGATATAGATGCACTTATCACAATTTGACATCATTACATTGTCAAACCTTTCATGCCATTGCTTCGGAGCTTGTTTCAGATCATATAATGACTTCACAAGTCTACAGACTTTGTGTTCTTGACTCGAGACCACAAATCCTTCGGGTTGCTTCATGTAAATCTCCTCTTCTAGATCCCCATTTAAAAAGGCTGTTTTTACATCCATCTGATGGATTTCGAGTCCTCTTAAAGCTGCAACTCCTATCAGAATTCTTATTGAAGTTATTCTCGTTACTGGAGAATAGGTATCGAAGAAATCTAGACCTTCTTTTTATCTGAATTCTTGAACCACAAGTCTTGCCTTGTACTTCTCAATTGAACCATCAGTGTTCAACTTGTTTTTGAATATCCATCTACACCTTAGCGCTTTGAAACCTTGAGGTAAATCAGTGATCTCATAAGTATGATTCTGCATTATAGAATCAAATTCACTATTAACTGCTTCTTTCCAGAAAGATGCATCAGGTGTAAACATGGCTTCTGTGTATGATCTCGGCTCATTCTCTATGAATAAATACCATTAAGAAATCATCACCAAAAGATTTTTCCTTGCGTGCTCTTTTGCTCCGTCTAGGTTCATCTTCTGCATCTTCTGCTTCATCAACTGAAATTCCAGAAGTGCTCTCCTCATTTACAGAGATTCTAGTGTCTCTTTCATCATGAGTGTGTTTCTTACTTTGTTTCTCTTTGCATGGAAAGATGTTTTCAAAGAAAGACACATTCCTAGATTCCATTATCGTGTTGACATGGATGTCTGGTACATCTGACATATGTACTAGGAATCGATAAACACTGCTATTATGTGCATATCCGATGAAGATGCAATCAACCGTTTTAGGTCCAATTGTCAGCTTATTAGGAGGTGGCACAACGACTTTTGCTAAGCACCCCCACACTTTGAGGTATTTGTACGCAGGTATAGTTCCTTTCCATTTCATATGGCATTTGCCAGTAATATTGTGTGGAATTTTGTTGAGGATGTAGTTTGTGGTGAGCAGCGCTTCCCCCCACAGATTCTGGGGTGTCTCAAATTCCTGCAACATTGCATTCATCATCTCTTTCAGAGTGCGATTCTTTCTCTCTGCAACTCTGTTAGATTATGGTGAGTATAGAGCGGTTATTTGATGTATGATGTCTTTTTCTTGACAGAAAGCGTTAAAAGTTTCATCATACTCGTCTCCTCTATCACCTCTAACCATCTTAATGGTTTTTCCCAGTTGGTTTTCAACTTCGAGCTTGTATTCTTTGAATTTGTCCATTACTTCGTCTTTACTTCCCAGTAGGTAGACGTAACAATATCTTGTGCAATCATCAATGAAAGTCACGAAGTACTTCTTACCACCTCTTGTTTGTATATACTTTAAATCGCACAAATCAGTGTGGATTAAGCCAAGAGGTTCGGTTGTTCTTTCAACATGAGGAAATGACGTTTTTGTGAGTTTTGATTGTACACAAACTTCACACTTGTCTTTGCTAATTTTGCATTTGGGGAATAAGTTCGAATTAATCAGCCTTTGTACAGATTTATAATTCATATGTCCTAATATTTCATGCCAAATATTAGAAGATTCCACCAAATAAGCAACTGGTTTCTTATTCTTATCATTTTTGGAAACAGGTACATTGTTTTTATTAAAGATGGTCATTACACACATTTTGACCAATCCTTCCTTAACAAATCATTTCTCAGTGAAAACACCATTCTTTCTAAGAATCAGCTCCACAAATCTAACGTAATATATGTTTGGTAGAATAATTCTAAAGATATTTGTTTCAACAAACTTGTTATATATTTCACCGATATTTTCTAAGAATTAACAGTAACTGTATAACTAATTTATAAAAATAGTGATAAATGATACAGATATATTTAGTCTAAAATGTGTGAATATTCGTCTTAAAAAATAAACTGAGATATGATTATCTGCTATTATTGTATATGGTGAACTCATGTTTATATCGGTTTGGTTTAATGATGGTTTGGTAAAGACTAATTTCTTATGACCTTCGTCATCTTTATTGTAAAGCTTCTGTTTCATCTCTATTAGAAGGCCATGTGAGATTTTTGATGTGCTTTTCGGTGGTTATTACTTACGAAGAATCTAAGCTTAGTTCAATTTCAAGTTTTGATTTGTTGATTCAACATTATGTATAAAGTAGAAGATCTTGTGGTTTGGTAATTAATAACTTTTCTAAACCGTACACTAATTATTTATTGAACCAACCCGAATTGATTTTAATAGAAATATAATCAGCAGAAATTACTGTAGTTATGGAATTAAATATATGTAAGCGGGTGTATTTTAATTATACTGTAACTTGTCTTTAATATCTTTAATGAAATCATGAAATGTTCTACCAAAACCAATGACATGAATCGTAAATACCACGTAAAATTTGGACATATTTTAACAATGATAATACTGTATTTATTTTAGTTTATTTTTGTGGTATTTTTATATAAGAAGAGTCGTATTTTTTTACTTGTCGTTTCGAGGAGGAAAAGTAAAAAGGATATGTCTAGGGCTACCATATCCGCTGCTGGTATCACAAAGTTTGAAGATTCGACGGAGTTATCTCCGCCGCCGAAGACAGAACCGATGGCGGAGTTGGAGGTGAAAACAGAGGTCCCACCACGAGTTTTCCGCAAAAGAGATCGGAAGGATCCGGAGTATTGGAGACAACGAAAGATGTTTCTGGAACAATTTGAAAAGAGCGAGGTATATATATATATATATATATATCGTTTATTAATCTCTTTTTTGTATTTTGTATGCAAACCACCAACTCGAGATTTTGTATGATTTTAAGGGTTACGATTTGGACTGGGACAAGTTTGACTACAGCTACGCTCCCGTCAAATTCGAATGGGGATTCGAATTCGATGTTGAGCTTAGCAATGACGAGTTAATGAAGCTGCTCATAAAGACAGCAATCGACGAAGAAAACGAAGAATGTGTATGTTTGCTCTTGCTTATATATCTAGTTAATAATGCTTCTCCTCCTTTTCTTGATTCAACTTGTTCTCGCAGGAAACGCAACTTGAGTTTGTCAAGTATGTGAGTGCAAATGTAACAGGCGTCCAAGGTTTTTGCTTTTATATAACATTGTGGGCCAAAGATGTTTCCTCGCCAGATCCAGAGCTAAAACTTTACCGAACAAAGGTGCGCAAGTGTGGGGATGAGATCGATGTTGTTGAATTCAAGCTAATTAAGGCCAACACAAGAATGATGAGGTTAACACTTTTCTAGAGTTGACTCTGTTTATCCGCTTTGTGTATGTTGTTGCTGTTGCTGTTAATTGTTAGATTCATTAGACATGGAATTAAACTCCTGGCCGTGTTGTGTCCGTTTTAACTTTTACTCTTTGGATGCATTCAAGTGATGACTTCAATTCCTCCATGGGCTTCCTCGTCTGCTTCTTAAATAACTTTACGTCCTTATCTAAGTAATCGTGTCAAAGACTTTTTAATGTATCTACAAGGGTCCTTTGTAACTTAAAACGGTTCTATGTAAGTTGTATTATCCGAATCTGTAACGACAAGAGTCATGAAATTGCAATCCTAATAGAAATGTGAGTGACTGATGATGAATGGTGAATTTATACTATTTGGGATGATAGACGGAATCTTCTTGTTGTTTAATGTATGACCAGTTTTAAAGGCCTCTGGTCCTGGTATAGTGGTTGATTCAACAAAAGCTCATGCAGAAATGTTACTGGCCCAAAAGAAAGTAGAATATCAAATGATGAAATAAGTGTCGAATTGAAAGTTCTTCACTAAAAGCTTTATCTCTCGCTTTTGTAGAACCAAAGATATTTGAAAATAGTCGAGTAATTCAAATAAAATAGAATGGAACTTGAAACCAAAACTCTTTATTAAAAATCGCTTGAATAATTCTTAAGAACTTGTTTAATCAGAATGATACATTTTTACAATAATCTCAATCGATCTGTAATGTGACACTGACCAATTCTTAATCTACCCACATTAGCAACAGCTGTGTTTGCTCCAAGAGCACCTAAACTCTCTTCCAAGATAGAGTGTTCTAATCCCCTTTAGTGCTAACCCTAACACTAAGACAAAAGTGTTCTATTTATCCTAGACTCGCAACGCCAAACTTGCCGTGTCTTGAACACCCCGCAAATCATCGAATATGGTAACTTATAAATCTTTCTTGATTCCCACGTATCCGGTTGTCAAAGCTCTTCTGACTTCGTGCCATATGTATGTAACACACTTTCCAGCTGTTCCACGGTCAAAAACTTATAATCTCCCCCTTTTTGCTTGAATGTGACATCTCAAGCTACATGTCATGTTAGTTTCAGCAACACACATACACACGCAACAACCACAGCATATCCAAGCAAGAAACATTCATAGATAGAGTAGTAACGCACAGTTCACACCACTTAGCAAGCTAAGATTGTTCAGGGGAAAGCACAAGTAACCAACCAAAAACTAAGCCGAGAAAGGTTCTTGAAAACACATGCAAAAGTAACAAGTGTGATCACTTGGATACAAAAAAAAAAAAAAAAAAATCAGCCTATCATCTTAGTCATTCGCTTCATACTCATGTATTCCTCCAAGACCGTCATCAGGCTCCTCTCCTCCCTCACTCTCGTCTTCTGAATCTTCTGGTGGATTGACATTCCTGAGTGACGCCAGTTTGGGATCATATCGATAATCTCTCCCTGCTTGAGTGCATATTCATGGCAAAAATAAACAGTGATCAAGTCTGATAGAGAAGAAGTGTCAGTGAGAGGAAAATCACTTACCTTTAAGACGCTGCTGTATCTTGCGGACAGACTTAGACAGCTCAAAGAGATCAGCAGATAGGGAAGGGACCCATTCCGGTTCTTTTCTCCTAGATCCACGTCCTGCCTTGGGGTCCACGGTGATTTTGGTACGATAACCAATCAGTGGACCATCACCATGATGTCCTGGCACAATCCTCTGGAAGTTAAGAAGCTGATAGATGAGGTTCCGAAAAAGGAGAACACGATCAACCAGAGCAGGATGCTTAGCAATGGCAAGAATTTGATTGTAGACCAGTTGACCAAAGTTAAATTCCTTTGCCATCAGGAGTGCGTAGACAAATCGCAGCTTATCTTTTACCATTGTAGTCTTGTTTGTAGTTGGCATACAGTTCTGACAGCAGAGACAGTAGAGGACACCATGATATATCATGGTTTTTATGGTTTTTAACCATGGTATAAGTCCTTTTTATTGAGTCGTTTTGGTCTTTTTAGAGTCCTAGAAGAGTCTTTGCAGGTTATAGCATGTCTGGAGCATGATTGGAGATATTGGAACCTTTTGGAGCATTCTGAGTTGAAGCCACGAAGTACCAAGCTCGAAGAAGAAAGTATCCCATATGGTGACGCTCGTCACCCATCAGGGAAGGAGCATGGCCTGTTTTATTAAAAGTATGAAGACTATTTGCAGAATTGGCCCAGAAGTTCCATTATTTACAAGAAGACCCCAAATCGTGTTTAGCCTCTATTTATTAGGTTTTTCAGCCATTGTTGGTTTTTATCTTAGTTTTTGAGAATTCAGAGAGCTTAGAGAGAGATTTATTCAGAGCTTTTTGGGGAGACAAATCATGTACTCTTTTGAGAAGATTTCGAACCCCTTTATTTCTTTTACTCTTTCTCTTAATGTAATATTATTCAGTTATGTTTTGTGATTCCATAATCATGTCTGAGTAATCTGCTAGTTAAGTTAGGGCTTTTCAAGGGTTGAAAAAGAGATTGTAGAATCACCACCTGTTAGGAATATCTTATGGTTTTTCATCTCTGCTTGCTTTAAAATCGAATTTTTGAGACACATCATCTAGGAATCCAAAGATCTTAGGTTGTTAAATATATGTGAGAGCATTATTCATAACCTGAACTAGTACTTGATGAGCAAAACAACTTAGTGCAAAGAGATTTGGCTTAGGAGTTTTGTAAAGAATTGAATATGATCATTCCTGCATGCTTAGGTTGTTAGGGTTTGCAAAGAGATTTGAAACTCTGTGATTTAGGCATAAATAACTTTTGCAATGAGAATTGATTAGTTATATATCAGTGATTCATGTTTAAAACGGTTCTTAATTATTCCTGATTTCATACATTCTACATTCTTGGATTCAACCTACGAACTGTCCTGACTTAGCGCTTTTAGTCTTCTGGAACTTAGATCATCTTACAAAATCGTTTGCTTACTTTTATTCATTCATTCGCATTACATACATTATATCTTTCTTAGCTTAATCCGAACCTACATTCGATAGTGTAGTCTGCATTACTCCTTTGGGATTCGATACCACTTGTACTACAACTGTTTTTGCTGTGCACTTGCAGTAGTTTTATTTGGGTAAAACCTGAGCCCTATCAAGTTTTTTGGCGCCGTTGCCAGGGAGTAATAGCTGCCTATCGATTTTTAGTATAAGGATTTTTTCTAAGTTTTAATTTGTTTACTGACTTTTAGTTTCTTTTCTTTGCGCTGGTTTCAGGTGTATGCCTAATCGCAGTACCAGAAGCAACAAAGAGAAGGAGCTTGTGACTTTGAGCATCGACGAACTCGCTAGGTTGGAGAGAACTAACAGGAAAGCTAAGAAGCAATCTACAATGGTCGCTCCACTTATCTTGGTTGAAGATGCAGAAGGTCACTTGGTTGACAGAGAAGGAAACAGGAAGAACGAAGAGGGGCAGAGGATTGATCAAGAGGGGAATTTCATTATTGAACAGCAGGTTCAACAAGTGGCAGAAGACGCTGGAGTCCCTGTTGCTGCCAATAACGCTGCTGGGCGTTTTGTTCAGAGGACTCTAGGTGATTTCAACAGACCTGATCAGTTCTATGCCAACAGAGCTGCAATCCGCCCTCCTGCCTTCCAGAGGAACGATTTTGAGGTTAAACCTGTCTACTATCAGCTGGTTGGCCAGCATCCATTCCATGGTTTGCCTCATGAGCATCCTATGGATCACATTAAGAGGTTTGAGGACTTGGCTTCAAGTGTCAAAGTCAATGGAGTCACTAATGACTTTCTGTTCTGCAAGCTTTTCCCTTACTCTCTTGGAGGAGAGGCTGCATATTGGCTGAAGCAACTGGAACCTGCTTCATTGACCACTTGGGAAGACACTAAGAATGCTTTTCTGAACAACTTCTATGATGATGCAAGGCCTGAAGACATGAAGACGAAAATTGCATCCTTTACACAAGGTCCTTCTGAAGCTTTTAAAGCCTCTTGGATCAGATTCAAGTCTTATCAAAGGAACTGTCCTCATCATGGCTTTAGTCAGGTGCAATTACTTGGGATTTTCTTCAGGGGCATTGACTGGAAGTATCAGATGGCGCTGGATGCAGCAAGTGCAGGAAACTTCAACATCAATAGACCAGAGGAGGCGATCAGACTGATTGAAAATTTGGTCTGCAACAACAACACTAAAAATGCAGACTTTCAGAGGATGAAACAAGCTGGTGTGGCTGATGGAAATCAGATTGCTGAAGTTAAGGCTAAGCTGGATGATATGCACAGCCTTTTGGTGGGAAAGAAGTCAGTCCAATTCGCTGCAGAAGTGGAGAGTTTTGAAAATCCTGAAGACATTGAGCAGAAAGATGTTAACTTCATCAATGGAGGTTTTCAGAACCAAAGGTTTGGGAATCAACAGTGGAACAGAGGATTTAATGGCAACAATCAAAAGAACACATTCCCAGGAAACCATAATGTTTTTGGTTATACTCCAATGCCACAGTTCCAGAAGACTGAAGTTGAGAAACCATACCAAAACAGCAGAAATTTTGGTTCTTCTTCCTACCAAACTGCACCTCCACAAGACAATAAAATGGAAGCTATGCTGGAGCAGGTACTTGAAGGACAGCAGAAGATGACAGTGAACTTCAGTGGCAAGCTAGATTCGCTGTATCAAGATCTGAATGGGAAAATTGAGAGTCTGAACTCTCATATGAAGAAGCTTGATGTGCAGGTTGCTCAAACTGCAGAAGCTGTTCAAAGGCAAGAGGGATTCCTTCCTGGAAGGACTGATATAAATCCTAAGCACCAGGTTAATGCCATCACAGTCAGGAGTGAAAAAGAGCTTGAAACAGTGCAGGAGAAGAGGCTGAATGCAGAGCAAATCGTGCAACAGATGGGGTTTGAAGATGAAATTTTTACTGTCTCAGAGATCAGTGACGACCATCACCAGTTGGGTGACGGTCGTCACCCACTTCGGACAGAAAAACACGACTTGTCAAAAGTCAGTGACGAGCGTCACCAGTTGGGCGACGGTCGTCACCCACCTCATAACAAAGATTTTTCGACTGTAACTGCAGATAACAGCAAGGAACAAGCGTATAAACCCAAGATACCATTCTCCAAGCATCCTAGGAGGTCTAAACAGGAGCTAGAAGAAGCCAGATGCAAGGCTATGATAGAGAAGCTGATGGTTGAGATTCCTCTTGTTGATGCAGTCCACTTTCACCTGCACTAAGGAGGTATGTAAAGAGGATGGTGGTGAATGTTGTAAGTCCTGAGGAAGGTGCATTGCTTACCAGAGACATCAGTGCAATTAT